CCATTTTTAATTCCATATGATTCTTCCCTTCTCTTGCCATAACTGATTAAATGAGAGATGGGCACCTACCCCAGAATAGCCAACCCAGAGGCTAGCCATCCACCCAGCACAAATGACTAAAAGGTGTCTTTAAACTCTTTGGTTCAGACATTTTCCAATCAATGCAGCAGTTATATTGGCAATGTTATGATTTAAAGGGGACCAGGGAGGTTATTATAACATATCTTTGTAAGGAGAAATACAATTAAAAATTAGACGCTAATTCTTCTTTTTGAAAATAAGAGAAGAACCATAAATTCCTTTACTAAGACCTGCAAAGCCACCTTGGATCCTTAGTCAACTCCATACTCCAGGGTCCACAAGGGTGTAAAAGAAAATAACGTTTATAACTAACTAAATTTCTCAATTTATTATGCCAAGGAGAAATTAAGCCCTTAGCAAGTCACATAGCATGTTTGCAACTTCTGCTTCATAGATTATAGATTAACTCTCTTCCTTGTTCTTGTGCTGTAAATGACTAAGAGAGACCAGACACCCTCCTCCACCCTCATCAATGATCTCAATGATCTTTGTTAGGGATTAACAGCCTCCTTTATTGTTCTGTATCTAACACAATCCAGATGATGAAAAATACTCCAGGACTCTTAGATCCTCAGTATGGAATCTTAATACCTTTCCTGAAAGAAAAAGACCACCTTCACTAATCAGATCATTAGAACTATGCATTAAGCCTTATATGTATATTAATAGAAAGATGTTGAAAATCTGTGAGGTTTCCCTAAACTTTGTCTATATAAATGATCCCAAACTCCTATACTTTGAAACGCTGATTCCCATTCTTTGGACTTTGTGCTTCCTGGGCAACCATTCTCAGACTTTGTGCTTGAATAAATTCTCTCTTTCAACTACATTCTGACCCTTTTGATTATTTTAGGTTGAAAGGCCCAGCTGTACCATGAGCCTGTTCTTGCATTCCCATGAGATCTCAGGTGTGCCTTGTAACCAAAGGTTATTGGCTGGAACAGAAAAGTGAAATGTAAATGCACAAGGTGGTTAGTGTTAGGGAGGCAGTTCGCGTTCCCAAAGTTAGGTAAACCAGAGCAATTATGACAGCGAAGTTCTAAGGTTACAGATCAGCCTTTGCCACCATTATTCAAAATGGGGAGATGAAGCCCTAAACTCATTGATTGTACTATGATGCCCCCATCAGCAGAGACCCGCCCCACAGCTTCAGAGCTCCATGCACTTTAACATTCTGCCTCTCCGCAATTTAGAAAAAGAGAATAGGTGCTAGAGAATTTTACTATGACAGCTTGAGACAGCTGAAGCTGAGGCAGAAGCTGAGAATTCTCCTTCCCTGTCACTCTTCTCCTTTTTATTCTTACCCTCTCTCCACTTCTCCTTATCAGAGTAGCAGGGGAATTCAGTAGCAGAGAGATGCAAAGAGGAAACCGGGAATGAAAGAAGGAGGAGGTCAAGGTGAGCTGGATGACTGCCGCCTGGTGCCTGTCAGGAGACCTCGCACCTATCTAGGTTCAAAAAGTAGAGTTTGGGAAGCAAGAGTTGCCCTGAACAACCATTAATTTCTCTCCCTGTAAAGACAGGAGAGTGGGAAGTGGTATCTGTTGGCATCTCATCAAGATCATTCTCCTGAGGAGAGCTGAGAGGTTGGTGACCTGACTTGGGGGCTGCAGGCAGAGGTAAAAGCCTTGCCTAAGTGAATAGGGGAAGAGTCTGAGTCCACAAGAGCTTTTGCAGAGGATCACACGGTAGAGGGGAAACTGATGGACCATGGAAAATAAACACATGGCCTAGAAACTCAGAGTGGGGGGAAAGAGGGATAGAATGTGATTATATCCTTCTATAGTTCAAAGTGTTCTCTATTTTAAATTTTTATTTATCCTCCAAACACCTCCTTTGAAGCCATTTGTACAATACATATAAACCCCACAGAATTTTTTCTCTATATCTTAAACCATTACAATTCTTAATTGTTTATTGAAGTGTTTGCATCTGCATTGTGACTTGTAATATCCTCAACCAGATTCCATGAATTCACTTTTCTCAGCTTTCTTAGCAAAAAAATTCACCACCACCACCACCCCCTTTTCCTCTAGGTAGACTCTACAAACGCAAAGTTTTCAGCTCTGAAGGGGCCCACTCTGCCTCTCAGCCTCCATGCTCACTGAACACAGACTCTGGACCCCATGGGCACTTTCTTCCCTTACTTCAGGAAAAATGAGAGGTGGCCACACTCCCCATGAGAAGGATCCAGACTCTAAATGAAAAGCTGAAGTCACAAAATGTGCCAGGAAGAGTGTTCGCACAACCTCCACCACCACCTCTCAGAATTGCTCGATTTGTGCCTTGGCGTTTTTTTCTTTTTTGAGGATTCAACACTAAATCAATATTGGTTACAATCATTAGAACACTGAGAACT